GGGAAGAGTGGATGCTCCAAATTTTTTTAAACATTGATATATATATATATATATATATATCTGTGTGTGTGTTGTACATATATCAATATATATATGTGCGTGTGTGTGTATACACACACACTCACAATACACACAATGTTTCAAATTACAAAGGTTAATGATAGAATGAGTTGTGAGGGATTTATTAATTATATACTTTATTTAATTTCTAAAGTTACTTTTTGTGATATCTTACTTATCAAGTAAGGGTATTTCGTAAATATCATTAAAAGACAAATGTTACTTTTGTTATCTCTCTAAGGGATAGAGTTTAAAATTTTATTAAAGGACAAAAGTTTCAATAAATAAAGTTTCAGGAAACAAACTTTCAAAATACCATTGTACTTTTGTAAACATTTCAAACTTACCCTTACTTAATGATTTAGTTACCTAATAAAATAAGTTTTAAATAAAAAGTAATAATTTTTTTATAAACACACCCACCACAACCCATTTGAATATTAACCTTGGTATTTTGAGGGATTGTTAACTCTAGACCAGCTACATATGAGCCCAACGACCTAGTTTCAATCTGGGTCGATTTGACAGACATGACCTCATTTCATATTTGAATTTTAATTTCTTTTCCTAGAAATCCAAATCAAGTGAAATTTTAAGTGTTTATTCTTCTAATTAAGGTGCATCTAATAAAAATATTAAAAACTAATTCGCAAGATATAAATTGACAAAAATACCCCTGAAAAGTTTTGGGGGTATTTTGGTCAATTTATTTCTCACGAAATATATTTTTTATATTTTTATTAGATTCTCCCATTTTTAAAGAACACAAGCCCCAAAATTTAAACTGATTTGGATTTATACAAAAAAAAATTAAAATTGCAATACGAAATGCAATCGTGTTCATTGGATCGGCCCAGATTGAATCTAGGCTATTGGGCTCATATATAGTTGTAGGCCCACTGGCCTACGCTAGCATTTTTCCATATATATATATATATATATATATA